TATTTCCCTTTATGTAGAGACATTTTTGTTTACACATAAGTGTACTGCATCATGAGACAACCCTAAAATTCCAAGTTGTGAAACAGTCCTCAAGAATTCAAGATTAAAAAGCAGTCTTCACAGAGATTTTTGCATTATAACCGGCATAATGCTCAAATATTTCAAGTAACTGTAACTATCTTTCTCTCTCGTAAGAAAAAAGTCAAAATTTTAATTAAGGTGTTTGTTAGTTGAGTGTTTTTTTTCTGCCAAACATTTTGCTTCAGTGAGCTTCTTATTAATTTTCCTAGATGCTGATGTTTTCTCTCTCTGTCTGATAAATATAGTCTTTCCATTCGTGCCAGCAAATTTCAAGTGGCATTCCAGTAAAAAAATCAAATAATTATTGTGAGGTTCACAAACCCCCTCCCCAAACCAAACAACAACCAAACCCTCGAAAGAATCATTCCTTCTCCATATAAACATAATGGTGTTTATTACTCAGAGAGCTTTGGAAAAAAAAAAAAGCACTGTTGATCAGTATTAAACTACATTTGATGGTTAAAAAAGAAGCTGTTCAAAACCAAGTCTAACACCAGTTGAACTTAAAAGATCCTAGAAAACATAACTGAAAAAGTTGAGAATCTGACAAAGACAAAATGGTTTTTTGTTAAAAAATAACTGGTGGCACCTCAATCACTAGCAGCCAACAATTCCCATTGTAAAGACATTGTTTAATTTTCTATAACATTTCTTTTTGTTTGTTCTCAGATTTTCTAGCTGATATGTCCATGTCAAATTTAAAAAACAACATCTTACATTGCTGAGTGAACTGTTTTTCTCATAATGAATCAGGGGGTATTTATAGAATTGTGTTAAAGTGTATATATACTTTCTGAGAAGCTCTTGTGCTTCCTTCTTTGAAGGAAGAACTTCAAATCTAACAGACAGCTCGTCCTAGTTATTTTAACATTAAAGTTGCCTATGTTGGATTCAGTTAAAAAACACAGAAATTACAATATGCATGTAGACCTCTGAAAAATGTGCATAAATAAGTTTCCATATCAAATCTAAAGAAGACAAATCAACATCTTGAACAACGCTGTGGCAAGAACAAGTATAGGGAAGGGAGAGAAGATGAGAACTGGAAGCTTGCAGATGCGTACATTAGTGATCAGAGGAAGTCTAGAGGGGACAGCAGGACAGAGTACTGAACTTCTGGGGACAAAGAATGGAGAAATTGAAAGGTAAACAGTTTCACAAGGAGAGCAAGACAAAAGACACAAAGATGAAAATCAGCTTCAACAAAGCTGAAGAAATACTGCAGAGTTTCTGGGTTCGGAGGAGAGTGTAACAGGAAAATTGATATGGAATGATTTTCCCTAGGTTTGCCTGGAAACACCTTTGACTAAGCAATACCTGCCATTTCAAGGCCCACAAGTACTAACAGCACTCGGCTGTTCTTCGTCTGCAGCAGATGGCAAATCAGTCTTCTAAAGACTGAAATGCTTTTTTCTGAAGTATCTAGGTAGAATACTAGAAAAGAGCACAATGAAGTCACCTGCAACTTGCAAAAGACAGAGGTCTCAATTATATAGCGCTCCTACTGTACTGCTAGACACTCTGTGAGAGTATCTAAAAATGTATTCAGTAAAGCACGTTGCCCAGTCTTCCATTCTATGGGAAAGAGCTCACAATCATCGAAGTCTCAGCATATTTCTCTAAAAAATAAACATCGATTAAATACACAGCTAAAACTCTTGCCTGACAGTCATTCCGCAGTAATTTCCCGCTTTTCTGAGTTACTCTAATCTCAAGTCTTGAAACTTGTGCAGTGGAACAAAAGGTTTCAAATCTATCAATTGCTTCTGCGGATATTAGTCAGATATAACACATTAGACTTCTTTGCTTATTTTCCCTTAAAAAACAAACCACCAAGTTGCAATTTAAAAAAGGTTACACACACCAAAAGAAAAATGGGAATTTTACAATCTAAACTCGAAGGTTAGATCTGTCAAAGTCAGAACGAAAAATACTTGCTCTGTTTAAAAATAAACATAAAGCTGGCTGCTATAAAAAGCATTTTTTTTAAAGAGTAGATTTTTCTTTCTCAAGAAATGAAAATAATTATAAGGTGTAATATTTTTTATTTCTGGAATGTTTAATTGCATGGTATTTAGAAACCAACAGTTCCTGTGAAGTTTGAAGCGACGGTTTTTATCTGTTTATTTTAAAAGTCAAAACAGATTTTTAGTATGTAAAAGTGCTGTTGCAGTATCAAATATTTAAAAACGGGTTTTCCAGATTCACCCACTTATTAAAGGTAGAGTAGAATACTTCATGCAATACCTGAAATTTGAAGAACTTTCTGAAGTACATCTTCTCTCCTGTCTGCGTAGTGTAACTTACTGCACAAACTAAGCTGAAAGAAACAATTTTTTAAAAAATAATTTTGAATTACTTTAAATTTTGTGCCTGTATCAAAGCAGCAACAGAACAGCATGCATGTGCTGCAGTTTCATTTAAGCTCATTCAGTCACAGAAAAATTTAAAATCTTACATGTGTGTTCCTATCTCCTTTACTTCATGATGGATCACATCATCAATGCAACAGTCAGGTTTAAGCTCTGCTACTGCAGCACTAGAAGCTGAAAGGTTCAAGCGCTGAGAACTTGTCTGAAGATCAGCCTAGGGACAGAAAAACAAAGCACTGGTTAGAACTGCAGTTGCTTAAAGCAATCTAAAGAAAAATAACTTACAAGGTACTAGCTTTCACTGAGCATTTTGTACCCTACATGCTTTCATACATATAACTAAGTTATGTTAAGATGACAAAATACTTGTCAAAGCTAAAGACAAGTTCTAAAATGTATATAAACAGTCCAATCGTTTAACATGCAATAACATAAAATCTATTTACTTTTTACATTGAGTTCCACAATGACTTCTGGAATTTCTATTCTGAATTTACTATTTGTTCAGCAGAAAATGAAAAAAAAAAATACCACTAGAAAAAAAACTAATTTGAAATACAAGCAAACACAAGTCAATGCATGCTTTTCAGACACTTGCTTTGACATCACTAAAAGTGCAATTAAGCGAATATAACTCTAATTTTTTAACTGTGGAAGTTTTGCTACACTAATTCTCCAGAGAAGCTTTATTACACACTCATTTTTTGGATACAATCTTAGTTTTTTATTTTAAAGATTTCCATTTTTATGTCTTATTCTTTCCAATTTCCAGGTATATTTTCAGGATTCAAAAAAGCGACAGGTATTTCCTAAAGTCTATATATTAGCATTAAGCATACAAGATATTGTCAGAAAACATACTCAACATATTTTATTTTTTTATAAATCTAGTAAGTAGATTTATCTTCACATACCTTCACCAGTATGTCCTTGACAACTTGATTACTATCATTGTGTACACTAATGTAACTGGAAAACGTTTCTCCCAGAAATATATTTCTGTGTTTAAAAAATAAAAATAACATATGTTTAGTAACAGTTAATAAAAAACAAGTAACATTTCACTGAAACTTCTTTAAATTCTAATTAAAATATGCATATATACACACATACACACACACGTGTTCGCCAGAACAAATCCTAAAAGTACGTTGGCATTTTCACACCCGTACTTCTAAATATTATCCTTCTAAGACAAACAACTTCAAAAGAGAACAAAGAAATCAGATTTTTTTCTAGATAAAAATCTGAGAAGAATAAGACAGTTTACAGCACTCACAAAAATCCCTGTAGTAAACTGTTAGTATAAGATGTGGTTTACAACAGTGCATTACATTAGAAATTCACCTACACTTGCAAATTTCTTTCAACTTTCCATCCTTATTGAACTCAGAGTCAGGCTACAGACAAGGAACATCAGGCAGCACGCATTTATATATTACATCATATTATAAATCAAGCCACAGATTATTTTTAAAACAATTGAACATCTCATTGCATAACAATGATGTTCAAAAAGAAAGAAAAGTAATAAACACATTATCATTAAATGAATTCTAAACCTTGCGTGCTACAGTTACCATAATTCATTCTTACCCAAAATTCTGAGGTAAAGTCAGCATTTCTCCTAGCATCAAAGTTTCTGCTCCCTTTACAGTAGAAGGATCATCCTTCATGAGCTGGTTAAATAGATTACCTGTAGAAATACCAAATTGCTAGTATCTAAATATTTTCTAAGTCTAAAGCTTTGTCTACATTTAAGTCATGACAATCAGTTATTTAGATGTAATTTATTTTAGACATTTTACAATCAATTTGTTTAGGCATGAAACATGTATCTAAAGGCCTGCCTATAAATTATAACTTACTTCCAGGCACTTGTGTCCAATAAATCATACACTATACATGCTGAAGGGTGCCATTCCAAAGGCATTGCTTAAATTAACATTAAACTTCAGGAGAAATTCTGCCTTAGTAAAGCACATTACATAATCAACCCGATTTACTTTCTTACCCTGCTTGCTTCGTATTTCCACACAATCCTCTTTCCTCGAATCTTTCCTTTGCCTCTTTCTTTTACTTAACTTCTAGACTGCAACTATTACTGGGGAATAACTTAGGGATTTCTAAGAATATCACACTAAGAATAACACAATTCAAAGGCAGTGATTCTTCCAAAATCATGTTGCACAGAACATTCATGTCTTAGTTCTAATTACTGGGGCATCTTTTCCAGATAAAGAAGGTAGTAACTTTCTACAATTACACATTTCTCTCTCACAACTGCCTTCCATCTTGTGTGTTAATTACTCAAGACTTTGAGGTCATGTGTTTGCAATATCATCACCAAGCTTTCAAAGCTGTAGGTCAAGAGCTGTAGAGTGCACCTTGGTATTTTCCTACAGTCATTACTACACATAAAATATATTGCTGTTTCAGACTACCATCTATGGGAGGTGATAAGACTCCTCTGACATCTAAGTCTCAGGTGCTCACATTGCTTAAACTTGCTAATACATACACCACAATCAGTCAGTAGAAAAGACATACCTGGCAAATCTCTTTCTTCACAAGTCACTGGAATATTAGTGAATAAAGTAGGTTTGGTTAGCCTCATCACTGCAAAAATCAGAAAAGAAACCATAGATCAATGAAACAAGTATTTTATATTTTTAACAGTATAAATTTATTGTGCTCTCCTTCGACCAAAACAACCCACAACCACCAAATCTTAGCCCGAAAAAGGGTAACACCTTTTTTAATCACCTGGCCTTTTTCAATATAACAATCTCCCTGCTGGTCTGAGCTGCAAGAGCACTGGTGATGCCATTGCTCTCTCTTGCTTTATTACCCTGGTGCACTAATATCTACTGCTTTCAACCGTATGTGCTAAAGGTCTTATACCTGTTAGAGTGTTAAGAGCCTTGTGGACTACAGGAGACAAGTACTAGTTTCATGTTTTTGTGGACTGTTCTAGGCTAAGAGCCTGTTCTGTGATCCTGGTTGTTCTAGAATGATGACTAGTATGGACCCTTCCTGTCAAACTCCAAGCCATAAGGAACTGCGTTTACACCCTAATCTCAAAAACACAAGCAAGATAGAGTTACAAGTCTAAAAGCCAAATTATTCATACAACCACTTTTCCTTTTAGTCACAGACTTAAAACTCAAACCAGCAAAACCATCACAAAAACCTCAGAAACACATAAAAAGCCTATTTTGTTGATACTGACAAAATCAAAACCACTGAGATCTTGCTATTAAAAAACCTCCACTTCGAGAAAGTGGTATTCTCAAAGGCTATTTTCACTCAGAATACTCAAAAATACATGATTTTTATTTGTACTTTAGACTTAAGATGTTGCTTCTTAAAAGAATTCCTTCCTATTAATATAAACCAATGGCTCTGATCTTGTATATAGCTTCTCATGAAAGGATTCACATGAAACAAAGTTGAGCATTTGTAACCTTAAATGTTGACATGAATACGTAAAAATCACTGATTCATTCTTCTTCAAAACCTAACAAACAAAAGCATATAATTTCTGAGAACTAAAAAATAAAATAATTACTCTGGACTGTAATAAGTTAATCAATATCCATGCACTGACACATGTATTGTGCTATTCTCTTTATTGTACTTTTGTGCATCTTATATGTCTGGTCAGCATTCATTATTTCCAGTTGTATAAAATATTCAAGTCTTTCTTTGGGTGTAGTGGGCAGTACTGGTTCACAAGAGCTTACATTACCATACAGCAGACCTATGCAAGTTACCATTGACCCAAACAAATCTCTATTTTCACATAAAAAAGGTGACACATTCTCTTTATTATGCTGAAAAGTTGAAAAACATGGTCTCTGAAGGCTTGCAACCACAAGGTAAATAAAAACCCAAAAAATATACAAAACAGTAAATGAAGAGATTCAACTTTGAAAATCAAAAAAATAAACACTGCATTATACATAGAATGAATGAATGATTCAGGTTACAAGAGACCATAAAGATCATGAAGTTCCACTCCCCCTGACATGGGCAGCGACACCTGCCACTAGATCAGGTTGCTCAAAGACTCATCCAGCCTGGCCTTAGACACTTCCAGGGATGGGGCACCCACAACTTCTCTAGGCAACCTGTTCCAGTGCCTCACCACCCTCTGAGTGAAAAATTTCTTCCTTATATCTAATCTAAATCTCCCCTCTTTCAGTTTAAAGCCATTGTCCCTTGTCCTATCACTACATGCCCTTGTAAAAAGTCCCTCTCCAGCTTTTCCGTAGGCCCCCCTGAAGTGCTGGAAGGCTGCCAGAAGGTTTCCCCAGAGTCTTTTCTTCTCCAGGCTGAACAGCCCCAAATCTCTCAGCCTGTCTTCATAGCAGAGGTGCTCCAGCCCTTGGATCATCTTCGTGGCCCTCCTCTGGACTCGCTCCAATAGCTCTGTGTACTTCTTATGTTGGGAGCCCCAGAGCTGAATGCAGTATTCCAGGTGGGGTCTCACAAGAGCAGAGCAGAGGGACAGAATCCCCTCCCTCAACCTGCTGGCCACAGTTCTTTGGATGCAGCCCAGGATACAATTGGCTTTCTGGGCTGCCACTGCAGATTGCCGGCTCATGTTAAGCTTCTCACCAAGCAAGTCCTCCTCCTCCATGCTGCTCTCAATCCATTCTCTGCCCAGCCTGCACTTGTGCTAGAGACTAGAGGATCTTGCACTAGGCCTTGCTGAACTTCTTAAGGTTTGCACAGGCCCACCCCTCGAGCCTGTCAAGGTCCCTCTGGATGACATCCCTTCCCTCCAGCATGTCCACCACACCACACAGCTTGATGTCATCTGCAAACTTGCTGAGGGTGCACGCAATCCCATTGTCCAGGTCACAGACAAAGACATTAAATAATACTGGTACCAATACTGACCCCTGAGGAACACCACTCGTCACTGGTCTCCACTTGGACATGGAGCCTTTGACCGCAACTCTTTGAGTGTGACCATCCAGCCAATTCCTTATCCACATAGTGGTCCATCCATCAAATTCATGTCTCTCCAGTTTAGAGACAAGGATGTCATGTGGGACAGTATCGAATGCTTTGGACAAGTCCAGGTAGATGATGTCAGTTGCTCTTCCCTTATCCACCAGTGTTGCAATCCCATTGCAGAAGGTCACCAAATTTGTCAGACACAGTTGTCCCTCGTGAAACCATGTTGGCTGTCACCAATCACCTCCTGGTTTTTCATGTGCCTTAGCATAGTTTCCAGGAGGATCTGATCCATCATCTTGCCAGGCACAGAGGTGAAACTGACTGGCCTGTAGGTCCCTGGGTCTCCTTTTTTCCCCTTTTTAAAGATGGGGGCTATGTTTCCCCTTTTCCAGCCAGCGGGAACTTCACCAGACTGCCACGACTTCTCAAACATGACGGATAATGGTTTAGCAACTGAATCTGCCAGTTCCCTCAGGACTCACAGATGCACCTTATCAGGTCTCATGGACTTCTGCACCTTCAGGTCCCTTAGATGGTCTTGGGCCTGATCTTCTCCTACAGTAGGCAGTTCTTCATTGACCCCATCCCTGCCTCTTTGCCTTCTGCGACTTGGTTTCAGCTGGGACAGAGTTAGCTCCTTCTTTTTAGCAGCTAGAAGAGCTCTGTGCTTTGGTTTTAGTCTGAGACTTGTTCAGAGAAGAATGATGATAGCCAACAGATGTTTATAGTTGGCACTGAGGCCTCAGACTTTTCAGCTGGCCTAAACCACAACAGCTGTGCAGCTGGAGCTCATGCTAGCAAGGCAAAAACACTCATTGAGTGCCTCAGACTTCTCCATATCCCAGGTAGCCAGGTCTCCTGTTTCCTTTCAGGGAGGGCCCACATTTTTCCTAGTCCTCCTTTTATCACTGACATACCTATAGAAGCTTTTCTTGTTGCCCTTGATGTCCCTGGCCAGACTTAACTCTATCAGGGCTTTAGCTTTCCTAACCTGATCCCTGGCTGCTCAAACAATTTCTCTGTATTCTTCCCAGGCTACCTGTGCTCGCTTCCACTCTCTGTAGGCTTCCTTTTTGTGTTTGAGTTGGTCCAGGAGCTCCTTGTTCATCCATGCAGGCCTCCTGGTGTTCCTGCCTGACTTCCTCTTTGTTGGGATGCATTGCTCCCAAGCTTAGAGGAAGTGATCCTCGAATACTAGCCAGCTCTCTTGGGCCCCTTTTCCCTCCAGGGCTTTATTCCATCCTACTCTACCAAGCAGATGATGAAAAGTCTGGATTGTGACATTGTGAGCATGCAGTTACTACTTGCTCACGCAATCTTGTTGATACGGGCCATCCTCAAGGTATGCTTTCTTGACATAGATCAGCTCATCCCAAGTGCCCTCACTTCATATGCAGTCATTCAAGTAACCGTTCCCATTTATGGTCATCATCTACTCAGCAGAGTACAACGACAAAATGAAAGTCTGGATTTCAGCTTGTAAATTGGTGCTACCCAAGACTGTAACTATTCTGTAGAGAAACTGAATGTGGTGTTCACGTTTTACTATGTGACAGTTGCTCTGCTGAGGTGCTCACAGCTAGCAGCACACGTAACATTATTCACATACAAGCCAACCCAAAGCGGCAGAAAGCTGACAGCTACCACTGAACAGTGACACCAATCTCTCCTGTTTAGAAAGATATTGTTTATCTCTTTTTTTTTTGCATATTAAATACAGTGGGACTGTATTATTGGCAGTAACCTAATTTTATTCAAATCTACAGTAAGACCATATTAACCAGTAGTTGCTGACTGTTTCTAAAGGAACAGTTACAGATAAAGTTTAGTCACATTTAAGACAACCAATAAATAAATAGATCACTGAATGAAGTCAAAACACAAAGAACATATGTAGATTATCATATTTAATAAGACTACTAAATTAATATTGGAAAATCATGTATCTTTGCAAGATAGCTTCTCACCTCTTCTACAATTCTAGACACAAAATACAACATTAAATAAAGCTCAAATCACACTGGATTCTACTCCATTGCATCTTTAAAAATGTTGACATATTGCTGAAACTTTGTTACTATTAATGTCAGCTCAGAAAAATAATTTCAGTGAAATAACTTGGCTACACAAGCTTTAAAACTAACAAGGACCCTCAGTTGCTTTAGACAGCATTTTACATCAATTTTGCTAAGTGGTAATACTAAACATCACAAACATCCCACATATCAATATAAGACAACCACCCCCCCCACATTCAGTCAGAGTTTAGAAATATATGTCAATGATCCTAACTGAGGATTAAAGGATATCCTTAATTTTAAACCACATAAAGATATAATAATAAAATGTAATTATTCCAACATAAGCATGTCATCAAAAGAAAAACACCAAGTAGAAGTCCAAGGGGATTGTATTTAGTTTTCACAAAGACGGATCTCCGTTATGCTTATATGCACTTTTATTTGATCAATGTTATTTATCTAACAATCTACAAACACTATTCACTTATTTTCTCCCTTTTCCACATGTCACAGACCTTGACCTCCAGCTACTGCACAATTATCTGGAGTTAGCAGGGGTGCCCAAGAGAAGTGCATATCCTTGCAGTCATATAGATCCCAGTTTAACTGTTCTACTGACCATCCAAAGACTGAATTGAGCAGGAACAGCATGACCTTGAAACATTTTTTTCTTTCAGGTGACAAGAAGTTATGTTGAACTCAGCCTTTTATCACCATAAAACACATCTAAATCCTCAGAGACCTCTACCTTCCATATTGACAGCAAACAGAGACAGAAGTCTGATTTCTTAATTTCCTGATCTGCACCTGGAAGCTAATGCTTTCTTGTTCCCCTATATAATTAGAGACACAAGACCAAAAACACCAGGAGAAAAATAATCTTTTTACTAAAGTCACAAACCAGCAAACGCTAAGTTGTTAATTATTTTTCAGCACAGAACTTCCACTGAAACTTTCATTAGTATTTCTGAGATAAGGTTACTCTGACAGCATACACATGCACTAGAAAATAAGTTTGTATTTCATGCAAGGGTTATGTCTTCATTCAAAAAAAACATACACGCTAGTTTCAGGAAATAATCAGATCTTTAAAGTCTCAGCATCAAAAATAATTACAGATCCTTACATGATTATAACAATTGACTTGAAAATATTTTTCCTTCTCCTAATTTCAAAACAGCACAGCGAGGATGTACTTTGCTTGACTGAAAGCATAAATTTTATTATATGACACAGCTTGCCATAATAGTCTGGAATTTCTATTTTAATTTTTTTTCTTTAGACCACCAAGGTAGAGAAAAGCTACAAAATGCAGTACTAAGCCAAAGAGAAATTTACTCATCTTAATAGGATCATTGGTAAGTCTCCTGGCAAAACAAAGTTAAATAAATACATTCTTACAGTTATAACTGTAGCAAAGTAATATTAAGTAGCTTTCTGCTCTTTTATTCTCAGTTGTTCTAAAGTTTGTATATTCTAGGCTGCTTAAAAATTCTAGTACTTCAGACAGCAATTTTATTATGAAACTCTATCTTACAATTATAAACTAAATATAATTCCAAATTTATGTACAAGCAGATTCATTTTATCAGTAAGGCTTAGCTTTTCCCTAAGAATATTTCTAACATATTCACAGTATAATATATCACAGAAAACCCATATCTGTCCCACAGATCTTTGGATAGTAGCATTACAAGACGGCAATTCATTCTGCTTGATGAGTCTATTCAATTTTATCCAGATGTCCTCCAAATTCTGATTACTACAAACAGACTGCTCGATTGTCCACTTTGCTCTATAAAAAGCATGCAGTTTTAGTCTTTCCAAATTATTTTGCAGTTCTTGAGATAAAGGAAGAATCTTTTCTTTAAGCTTAGGGCTAGGGAGAGAGACACTCCAAGACCTTTCCAATTTTTGTTTTCCGTTAGGCGGTGGTTCTGCTTGATTCTCCGAGTTAATGGGTCTGTGAACAGTCTGTGCTTGGATTAAAGTCTGCCTGTGTTTCACGTTAGACTGAAACTCAAGGAGATTTTTTGTGCAGTCATAATCAGGAGATCCTGTAACATATTCTGAAGGTGTAGAAAGTTGTTGCAATTCTTCTGCTTCCTCACAAGAAACAACAGGTGGCTGCTTTTTTGGTTTGAGAGGAAGTCTGTATAAATCATTTGGAAACCAGGGTGTAAATCTTGGTAACTGACGAACGGGAAACTCCTTCACTGCTGCTTCTGCAAATTTCTGCAGTTTTATTAGATCTCTTTGATGTGGTCGATAATGTAAGACCACTTCCATGCTTGTACAGTAGGAATCCAGTTATTCTTAGGAAAAGGAACAGTCTCTTGATTAGGATTCTCAAATCTAGACTGAAACATCTTATTTACAAGAATTTCCTTGCCCCACGCTGCAAAGATCAGTGGAAAACAGGACCTAAAGCAGAAGTATTATAAAAAAATAAGATACTACCATATTAAGAAAAACATTGCTAAGATATTTCACAAAAAAATCAACATGTAGGAAAAATAAGCAAGATAAATATCAGAACATTATACTTTTTCCAGGCTGAACATTAGCAACTGTATTCCATGATAACCAGCGTAACTTCACTATGCTGAACGTTACCCACATGCACGCAGTTTACTCTACGTTGTCCCTCCCACGAGTATTCTTTTACTGTCATCATCTCATAATTGCCATCCGTCATTATTCTTGCTATATTTTTGTGATGCATATTAAAAGACATACAATTACTACTGCCTATTTTCTCAAATTTACCAGACAATTCTATTTTTTAAAAAAAAGTTTCTTCCTACACTTCAGCCTTTTAAGCGAAGGCATATAAAGCAACCAGACAACACGTGCGTTACAAAAGCCTGTCCTCAAATAATCCTGACCAATACAGCATTTTTAAAGTCACAGGTTAGAAGGCAAGTGCTAGAGGCAAATTAAAGTTGTATGCTTCCATTTCATATCAGAACCACACATTTAGTTTTAGTCTCAGAGCTTCTGAGCAATACATGCAGCCATCCTTTCGGTCTTTAACTTAAGGATCTGGTGATTCCTTTATTTACTAGACTTTTAGAGTAACTAAAAGATTTATTATGTCTTTAAAGACTTTACACTTTCATACATTGATGCCCTCTTTTATACAAAGATTATATTAAATTCAGGGGGTGGGGAAGAGGAGAATTAGAAACATTACTATGAAACATAACATAGCACGCACTCTTTATCTCCTGTTTTTCCCCGTTAACAAGACTGCAATCACTTCAGGTTCACTGCCAGAGATCAGCAATAGACAATATCAAAATCAATAAAATCTAGGATTGTTTAATCATTACACTGTCAAGATTTTCTTTAAAACAGTCACAACGCAAAGAAACTCTGATACCTTTCTCTCTTCTTTTGCAGTACCTACAGCCTAGACACTTCACCAAATTCAATATAAGCCCAACAGTTATATTGGTTTCTTAGAAGAGCAAAATGATCTATCACAAAACTTTCTGCCCTGAATTAATTACTATCAAAACGTATTTGTAATATCAGAAAATCATGTTTTGTGTTCCCAGGTTTTTGGCTTCATTTTGTGCATGAGTGTCTACATACATGAAAAAGGGCTTATTTCATCTTTGAATTATGGTTAACAGATTTTACTGCTACATACTCTCTCCAGCAGTCTTGCAAAACTAGTAAGTGGGCAGAGGATGGGCTGTGGAATCATCTACCCACCTGCACTACTTTATCTGTCTGAGCAGTCTCACTGATGTAGAACACTTGCAGAATCGACATTGTAACAGACTACTTATTACTCTTACTGAACCAGCAGCATTTATTTTATAAACAAGCACAATTATAAAAAAAGAAAGTAAATATTATGTCTGTTGACTGAGATACTGTGAAAGCAGAGTCAGGCTTTTCAGTGTTTCAACTGCTGATTTATTGGTACCCAACAGCCAGCAGAAACGATCAAATTCTTTACAGGGGGCTCTCTTGATTTCTGCATTAATCCAGCAAGGTATGCAAGAGACACAAACATTTTTATTATCACTAATTCGTGACTCCTGAATCAAGGACGCAAGCCCAGTAGCTGTGCATTAAGCATAAGATTAAAGGGGCAAACCTATTTCAAAGGGAAAAAAACCCAACCGAACAAAAAAGACAACAAGGAACTCAAAAGGAAATTAAAAAAAAAAAAAAAAATTCCTTGCAGCTACTGAAAGCCTTGTGCAAAATGCAAATCCACGGAGCGTGGCCTTAATCCAGCAGGGCGCACAGCCGCCCGCGGGACCCTCGCTCCCTTAAGACAGCCCCTCCTCCCCAGCCTCCCCGTACCCTCGGGCTCCTGCGGGCCGATCCCTACTCTTCCCTCGGAGGGAAGAAACGGCCTCACCTCCAGCACGGACACGGTGTTTCCCGACCGGTTCACAACCCGGACTCGCGCCGCCCCGTTTCCCCCCGGGCCGTGGCACCCC